AGTGGCCTTGCAGGGAGACAAGCCCGTGAGGGACAGCAGCCTTGCTAGAGGTCCTCCTCTGGCAGTGACCAGGTGCTTAGAACAAGGTGATGATAAATGACACTAAGGGATTGGCTTTTGTTGACCAGAGCTGATAGTTACTGAGGTCTGGAAAGAGTCATGAGACAGGGACCAACCAATGTCTTCACAACTGACCTCTCTCCTCCAGTCTTCCTGCTTTCTTCTCCAGCTTCATGAGTAAAGGCATTCCCACAAGATATTGTCCCTGACCCTTCCCTTTTCTCTACATGCTTTCCTGTTATACGCCAAGAGAGAATGGAACAAGTGGAAGACTTGCAGTGATATAACCACAGCCCTGATCTTCTGCCCGAACTCCAGTTCCGCTTGTGCCAATGCCTAGGTGTCAACCTCAAGGTTTCCAAAGCTGACACTCTTATGTCCCCTCCCAGGCTTGTTTTTCCTCCTAGGTTCCCCAGTACTGCTGATGGTGCCCCACATCTAAATATCTGTTCTTCACACTGCCTTCCAAGTCATCTCTCTGGAATAGAGCTCTGATTACATCACTCACCTGCTCAAGAAACTTCCATGACCCCTACTGCCTACAGAATCAAGTCCAAACTTGCTGCCTTGGCATCAAGTCCCTCCAGGACTTGCTTCACTGTAATCAGCTATTATTCAATTCATACTCTTAATATTCCAGCCGAACAGGTAACTGCTATATACTCATTATTAGGTGTCAGGTGCTGTGCATCAGACATCATCACATTTAATCATATAATGTGCATGTCCCTAGGATTTCCACTTTTATAGACATGAAAAATATGACCAGTAAGTTGCCCAAGGCTGGTGGGGTAGGGCCTGGACCAAGGTCTGTCATGGCTTAGCCACATGCTTGGCTGTCTCATAAGCTAAGCCCTTCCCCATTTCCCAGGCGGGACATTTGCTCACATGGCCATCCTGTCTGGGATGCTTTACTCCTTTATCCTAATGTCTAAATACAAAAGCCCTGGGGGGAGAGGAGACAAGAGGGAGGAGAAGGACATGAGCTCACCTCCTCTTCCGGAAACACCAAAATCACAGCTAACTGCTGAATAACCACCAGCAAAAAAACGTTGGAACTCACCAAAAAAGATACCCTACATCCAAAGACAAAGAAGAAGCCACAGTGAGATGGTAAGAGGGGCGTAATCATGATAAAAAACAAATCCCATACATGCTGGGTGGGTGACCCACAAACTGGAAAATATATAACAGGGGTTCTCCTACAGGAGTGAAAGTTCTGAGCCTCACATCAGGCTCCCCAGCCTGAGGATCTGGCAATAGGAGGAAGAGCCCCCAGGGACTCTAGCTTTGAAGGCCAGCAGGGTTTGATCACAGGAATTCCACAGGACTGGGAGAAACAGAAACTCCACTCTTGGAGGGTGCACATAGGGTCTCGAGTGCACCAGGACCCAGGGTAAAAAGCAAGTGAGCACATTAAGAGACTGGGCCAGACTTACCTGCTAGTATTGGAGGGTCTCCTGTGGAGGCGGGGAATGGCTGTGGCTCACTGCGGGGACAAGGACACTAGTGGTGGCAGTTCTGGGGAGTACTCATTGGTGTGAGCCCTCCTGGAGGACACCATTTTCTCACCAAGACCTGGCCCCACCCAACAGCCTCTAGGCTCCAGTGCTGGGACGACTCAGGCCAAACAACCAACAGGGTGGGAACACAGCACCACCCATCAGCAGACAGGCTGCTTAAAGTCTTCCTGAGTAGATGGCTGCCCAATAAACACACCCCCTGACACGGCCCTCCCCACCAGGGGGACAAGACCCAGCTCCACCCACCAGTGGGCAGGTACCAGTCCTTCCCACCAGCAAGCCTGCAGAAGCCTCTTAGATGCCTCATTCATCAGGGGGCAGGCAGCAGAAGCAAGAAATACAACCCTGCATCCTGCAGAACAGAAATTGCAATCACAGAAAGACAAAATGAGAGGGCAGGGGAATATGTCCCAGATGAAGGAAAAAGATAAAACCCCAGAAGAATAACTAGTGAAGTAGAGATGCACAATCTACCTGAAAAAGAATTCAGAGTAATGATAGTAAAAATGATCCAAGATCTTGGAAAAAGAATGGTGGCACAGATTGAGACAATATACGAAGTGTTTAACAAAGACCTAGAAGAACTAAAGAACAAACACAGTTGAACAATACAGTAAGTGAAGTAAAGAATACAGTAGAAGGAATAAATAGCAGAATAACTGAGGCAGAAGAACAGATAAGTGACCTGGAAGACAGAATGGTGGAAATCACTGCCATGGAACAGAATAAAGAAAAAAGAGTGAAAAGGAATGAGGACAGTCTAAGAGACCTCTGGGACAACATTAAATGCAGCAACATTCACATTATAGGGGTCTCAGAAGGAGAAGAGACAGAGAGAAAGGGCCTGAGAAAATATTTGAAGAGATAATATCTGAAAACTTCCCTAACATGGGAGGGGAAACAGTAACCCAAGTCCAGGAAGCACACAGAGTCCCAGGCAGGATAAACCCAAGGAGGAACACACTGAGACACACAGTAATCAAACTGACAAAAATTAAAGACAAAGAAAAATATTAAAAGCAATAAGGGAAAAGCAGCAAATAATGTACAAGGGAACTCCCATAAGGTTATCAGCTGATTTCTCGGCAGAAACTCTGCAGGCCAGAAGGGAGTGGCATGATGTATTTATCAGGCTCCCTAACTTCAGACTATACTACAAAGCTACAGTCATCAAAACAGTGGGGTACCGGCACAAAAACAGACATATAGATCAATGGAACAGGATAGAAAGCCCAGAAATAAACCCATGCACCTATGGTTAATTAATCTATGACAAAGGAGGCAAGGCTATAAAATGGAGAAAAGACAATATCTTCAATAAATGATGCTGGGAAAACTGGACAGCTACATGTAAAAAAATGAAATTAGAACATTCCTTAACACCATACACAAAAATAAACTCAAAATGGACTAAAGATCTAAATTTAAGACTGGATATTATAAAACTCTTAGAGGAAAATATAGGCAGAATGCTCTTTGACATAAATTGCAGCAATACCTTTTCTGATCTTCTCCTAGAGTAATGGAAATAAAAACAAAAATAAACAAATGGGACCTAATTAAACTCAAAAGCTTTTGCACAGAAACAGAAACCATAAGCAAAACGAAAAGACAAAGAATGGGAGGAAACATTTGCAAATGACGTGACCGACAAGGGATTAATCTCTAAAATTTACAAATAGCTCATGTGGTTCAATATCAAAAAACAAAAAACACAATCAAAACATGGGCAGAAGACCTAAATAGACATTTCTACAAAGAAGACATACAGAGGGCCAAGAGGCACATGAAAAGATGCTCAACATCACTAATTATTAGAGAAATGCAAATCAAAACTACAATGAGATATCACCTCATACCAGTCAGAATGGCCATCATCAAAAAGTCTACAAACAATAAATGCTGGAGAGGGTGTGGAGAAAAGGGAACCCTCTTGCACTGTTGGTGGGAATGTAACTTGGTACAGCCACTGTGGAGAACAGTGTTCCTTAAGAAACAGAGGTTCCTTAAGAAACTAAAAATAGTGCTACCATATGATCCAGCAATCCCACTCCTGGGCATATATCTGGAGAAAAACATGGTTCGAAAGGATACATGCACCCCAGTGTTCACTGCAGCACTGTTTACAATAGCCAAGACCTGGAAGCAACCTAAATGTCCATCGACAGATGAATGGATAAAGAAGATGTGGTACATATATACAATGGAATATTACTCAGCCATTAAAAAGAATGAAATAATGCCATTTGCAGCAACATGGATGGACCTGGAGATTATACTAAATGAAGTAAGTCAGACAGAGAAAGAAAAATATCATATGATATTGCTTATATGTGGAATCTAAAAAAATATATATATACAAATGAACTTATTTACAGAACAGAAACAGACCCACAGACTTAGAGAATGAACTTATGGTTACCAGGGGGAAGGGTGGAGGGAAAGGATAGACTGGGAGATTGGGATTGACATGTACACACTGCTATATTTAAAACAGATACCAAACAAGGACATACTGTATAGCATAGGGAACTCTGCTCAATATTCTGTAATAACCTAAATGGGAAAAGAATTTGAAAAAGAATATAGTGTATAACAGAATCACTTTGCTGTACACCTGAAACTAACACAACATTGTTAATCAACTAGACTCCGATATAAAAGAAAAAAGAAAAAGAATATAGTGTATAACAGAATCACTTTGCTGTACACCTGAAACTAACACAACATTGTTAATCAACTAGACTCCAATGTAAAAGAAAACAGAAAAATAAATACAAAAGCCCTACCTGGTCCTTCCAGTTTAAACCAAGTCTTACCATCTCCCCCCTACAAATGCACACATTGCTTCAAGCGCAAGCATGGGAGGGCTGCTGGAGCATTTTGCTCCTTTTGTATTTTTTCAGCCTTAACATTTGTAACCTTAAACCTGACAAATCAAACCTTGTCCTTGGGCAGAGTTGGAGCAAGCAAAGGGCAGAAAAGGGAATTATTCTCAGAGTAGAGCTGCCTGTGATGACCCCTGCATCTTCCCCCTGCCTACCTGGGAGATAGTTCTTGGGCAGGTCAGCACCCTGTCCAGGCACAGAAGAACCTGGAAACCAGGCCAGGACAGTTCTTGTAGCAGCACCTCCGCTCTGTGACACGTCTGCATGGGTCCTTATCCCTATGACCCCATGTGTGGGATTTCAGGTTCTGCTTTTATTCCCTGAGGCTGTGCGATCTGCAGCTGGCAAAGGATGCCCAGGACTGAGCAGCTGCACCCTGTCCCACCTTCCCCTGCAAATGGCAAAGAAGGCTTCAGAAAAGATAGTCTTCCGGCCGGTATCAAACATGAGCCTTGCTCTGTGCCCTGAAAACTTGTGTGCAGGGGAGGGTCTTGCCATATTGTCACCAACCCAGGGAAGAGCAAAGTACCTTCTGGCCGTGGTTTTGGCTTTTCCAATCCTCCGTCTTGCATGAGCTCAAAGGCAAAGGAGACGTTCAAGACCTGGAGAGAGAAAGGCAGTGCGTGAGGTGCTGCATACTCATTCCTAGACCCTTGGGGCTCCCTGTGACCTGCCCCTGGAAAGTGAAGGAACAAGCACTGTAGCCAGTGGGGCAGGGGCTGAGCTAAAATGAGGCCATTTTTCGAAGGACAAATGAGGCTGCCAAACTGCCCCGGCCATGAGGAGTGTGAGTCAGGCCCAGCCTGCTGTTGGTGAAGCACTCCCAGAGGAGTTAAAAATCCTCTCCCTGTCTTACTGCGTTCTTGCATCACTGCCAGGACTGTAAACTCAGGGACATAAGTGCTCACAGTTGAAAGGATCAGAAAGCAAGACATTTCAAGAGGCAGAGAAGGGTTTCTGCTTGGGACCAAATGCCCCTTGTCTAGCAGGTGGGCTGGGGCAGCCTGTGAGAGGCATCAGAAATCGGCTGAGCACCGGCCTCAGGTCTGACCAGCCTTGCAGCCACCTTCCCTGTCACCTCTGGGGAGAGATGAGGCTGGGCTGTGGCGCCAGGCAGGAGCATACGGCTAGGGGAGCAAGGTGCAGGAGAGGGAAAGCTGTTCAGGATGCTCAGTGGCCTGTAGGTAGCTGCGTCCCAGCTCAGCTGTGCATCACAATGAGCCCCCCATCCGACCACTGAAGACTCTGGGCAGAGGGGAAGCCGCCGCCTTTTCCCCAGATGGCTTCAGCAGAGGTGTGGGCAGATGGGTCGGGCATGTGGGCTCGGGCCTCCCGTGATGTCACCTCCCCTAACCTTCTGCTCAAAGCTGTCCGGGGTCAGGAAGAAGCTGTGCAGGGGCACGAAGTAGCCCTCCAGGAGCCCCATGAGCAGCACCAGGTACACCCCATCTGCAAACTGGAGGGAGAGAGACAGGTGAAGGCACTGGGCCCCGAGCGCCCCAGCCCAGGCCTTTCCAGGGGCACATCAGCTTCCGTGTTGACCCCCGCAAAGGCTATATCCCCAGGCAGGCTGCTGGCAGCGGGTGAGGGGCAGTAGCCCAAGGCAGGAAGGTCTGCTCTGCAGCAGGCCTGCCCCATGTCTGGCTGGTCCAGCACAGCCACAAGCCCATGGTCCTGATCTCAATTGGTCCAGTATTTATTGAGCACCAACTATGTACCAAGCCCTGATCTGAAACAGGGACCACAGAGGTGGGTCAGGTGTGGCCCCTGCCCTGGAGGAACTCATGGTACAGTGGCGAGACTGTTGTGGAGGAAATGCAGCCGCTGCTCTGATGGAGGGAAGCATGCTGGCCTGCATGAGACTGACGAAGGTCACTCATCCCACTGAAGGCAACAGCGAAGGCTTCTGGAGCAGGCGCTGCCTGGGTGGAGACATGAGGGATGAGCTGGAGTTAGCTAGGGAGGGCAGAGGGAGGAGGGAAAGGGGATGTCCAAGGCCAACGGCATGAGGCTACTAGGGCGACTTCTGCTTTATGAACAGGGAAGGATCTAGTGTCATACCAGCCTGGGCATTCTCCCCTCTCACCCTCGCCTTATTACTGCTTGAGAGGCAGCATAGTACAGCTGTTAGGAACGTGTGCTCTGGGCTGGCCTCTAGCTCTACCACTTATTAACTGAGTGACTTGAGCAAGTTACAGAGCTTCTCTGTGCCTCATTTTTCTCACCTGTAAAATGGGGCAATAATAGTATAGTATCTAATTCATAGGGTTTCATGCGGCCTAAACCAGTAAATATGTGTAAGGTGCCTAGAACACTGCTTGGTGTGTAGGCAACACTTAACACATACTAACTACTGCTATTTCTATCCGGGAAAACAACAAAGCAGTCAGACACAATCAGCTCTTGCTGATAAAGCACAACTGTGTGCTCAGGGCCATGGCAAGAGGCTTAGAGCTGGTCCCAGCACCTGTGGGATGAGGGAAATTTGAAAGGAGTAGGTGTTCTGGGTATGGAGAATGGCCTGAGCAAAGTTACAGCATATCTGATATTCTAGAACCTTGCAAAGGAGGCAGGGCCATCAAATATTTGTATAAACAACAGTTACTAGAGTTCACAAGAGATCAAAGTTCTTGGAATCATCTTAGGAAACTTTAAAAATACTAGACGGAATTAGTATTCTGCCCGGGCTGGGCCAGTGTCTGAGCTCTGCTGGGTGACCGATTGGTGGGCCTGTGACTCAACCTTGGTTATGGGCAAACAACCTGGAGTATGAACTTGACCTAGAAGCAGCTTCCTCCCTGTTTCCATCCATCTGGCTGGTAGGGCCTGAGCATGACTCATCCCAGGCCACCCCAGGGTGGACAATGGGAAATAGACCCCAGCAACCGTGTCAAAATCACAGCCCCACCCATGGAACTAGTTAACTAGGCCTAATTCTGGCTGTGGCTGGAATGGGTTGAGAATGAAAGAAACTAATCTGTCAACTCAGGGGAGCACCCTGGGTTAGGGTCAGGGTTAGTCACAGCTGTGAGTACCACTGACCTAGACTGCTCCCACCCCTGACTGCTGGTTCCAATGACTTGGTGGTAAAACTCGCAGATAGACACCAGATATGCTCGGCAGAGACCCCTTCCCTGCCCATGGGGAAGGGAGAGCTCATTCCAGCCCTCTCCAGGAATCATTGCTTCTGCAGCGCGTTCCCTATCTCCTGAAGAGCATATCAAGCTGCCTCCAGAGTCCAGACACACCCAGGCAGATCTCAGTCACAGACCCGGGCATTGCCTTTAAAAATAATAGGAGGTGCCCCTGTGTTCAAAAGAAAACCACACTTTAGAAGTTCATTGCGAATGAAAAGAGGTTGGGAAACAGGATACATTACATGGTATAAAGATTATACCTAATAAAGATTAGTTATTAATTATAAAGCGGGGGGTAGGGGGGCAGAGCTTTACAGTAGGGAAATCTGGGGTATGCCCACTTAGCCAAGTGGTCAAAATTACCACCACCAGGAACAGAACTGATGGAGAAAAGTGCCTGAGAAGGGACTTCCCTGGTAGCGCAGTGGTTAAGAATCCGCCTGCCAATGCAAGGGACATGGGTTCGATCCCTGGTCCGGGAAGATGCCACATGCCGTGCAGCAACTAAGCCCGTCCGCCACAACTACTGAGCCTGAGCTCTGGAGCCCGCGAGCCACAACTACTGAAGCCCATGCGCCTAGAGCCTGTGCTCCGTAACAAGAGAAGCCACCGCAGTGAGAAGCCCGTGCACCGCAAGGAAGACCCAACACAGCCAAAAATATATATATATTAAAAAAAAAAAAAAGGCCTGAGAAGAACACAGCATTGCCTCCATGGTACTGTTCCTGAACATGCATAACCTGGTTCTAATCATGAGGGAGAAAAACAGAGGCATTCTATGAACTAAATGGCCCACGCTCTTCAAAAATGTCGATGTTATGCAACGAGAGGCTGAGGATTTGTTCTCTATTAAAAAGAAACTAAAGAGACATGACAACTAAATGCATCAGGTGAGAATATGAGGACAACTGTATTTCTCTGAACCATGTGACACGGTCAAGAGTAGTCAAATATCAGTGATTTCATATGGTTCAACCTAAATAGATTAACATATTGTACTGATGTTAAAACTGCCTGAATTTGATTACTATATTGTGATTCTGAGGTATTTAGGGGTGGCGAGAGAGAAAAAAAACCCAAATATGGCCAAATGTTAACAACTGTTATATGTGCGTGAAGAGTACACGGAGATTCATGATAATATTCTTGCAACTTTTCAAAATAAAATACTGGAAAGAATTCGGAGAAATTCCATGCAGTTCACCCCTCTGAGTGAAGAGAGAGAGAATCCCCTCTCCCTCCCCCGGAAAAGCTCCAGGATCAGGGTGGAAAGCCCTCCCGGCAATGTGGCTGGGGCAATGGGAACAGTGGCTGTCCAGCGGGGCCTTGTCCCCCACCCTGCACATGGGGCCATCACCCACCTGGGTTTCCAGTTCCGTGACCTCCAGGTTCAATTTATTCAGGTGCTTGTTCACGAAAGTAATGAGCGTCTAGAAGAAAAGCACAAGCCAGACATTGAGATGAAGACTCTCACCCTGGAGGCCGCCCCTGTGACTCAACCATGACGACACAGGACGAGACCCAGCCAAGATCTCGGGCCCGGGATCCCTGTGCCGAGCGGAGTGAGGCTGAGCAGCCTATAAGGCTCTTGCGAAACTCCTTGAGTCCACAGGGAAGGATGGCCCCCAGGACTGGCAGTCCCATGCACTGTGCGATTCCAATAGCCAGGTCCAGAACTGTGCAAGGAGCAGGGAGTGCTAAGAGGGCAGAGTGACAGGTGGAGTGTCCTAGCCGGGCTCAGGGGGCCAGAGGAGAAATGACCGCCTTGGGTCCCTCCTTCTAGTCCCCCTAGGTGCAGGTACCGGTGCCAGGGAGACAGAGGGAGGTCTGTGTGAGGAGCAGGGATGGCAGGGTTCAGTGTGGGTGTGGAGACACGAGACCGTAGCCTCAGAAACCCCCAAGAGATGCTGTCATCCCAATGGGAGAAGAAAGGGACTGGATAAGGCATCCAGTGAAAACAAGACAGGTAAAACGGACATCAAGCAGGAAAGCTCTGTGTTTGTGGTGGTCTGGTGATGACACCAGTTTCGGGAAGCTTGCAAACTGCAGGGGGTGGGTTTTCCTAATGTTTTCCTACATCTCGCTCCCCTCCCTCCCTCCCTCTCC